CACGTAAATTATTTTAATTGATTAATTGGTTAAATTAAAATCAACATTTATATTTTTAATAAAAATTAATTATAAAAAATACATTTATTACATCATAATCTTATGCCCTGTAATATCCCAAATTTTCGGGAATATTTAAGTGTAAGTTAAGGACTTGATTGTGGAACAATGCTGTTTTGGGGCCTAATGGTAAAACGTTCAAAAGTTGAGAGATTTAATGAGGGAAAATAATTGGATAAGGATCAGTTTCTTTTCTTTTTCTTTTTCCTTCTTTTCTTCCCCAGCCATTTCCCGATTCTGCTCTTCTTCTTCTCGCTGCAGCCCCCGAAATTCCCCCTCCAAGCCGCCGGCACCAGCTTTGAAAAATTGGTAAGGAAGCTTGGTATTTTCCCCTTCCTTTCTTGTTCTAGAACCTGATTTGGAACCCAGAATTCTCCCCCCTTGCTGGAAATTCCAGATCTGCCTTGCTCTGCTTGTCTTCACCACCGGCTGCTCCTGCTTTGTGGGTGTGATTTGCTCTGGTTTTGGGTAAGAAACAGCTACCAATACCTCTGTTCTTGCTTGAATTAACTTGGGTCTACCTTACTTGCTCTTGGGTTCCTTTAATTTTTGGGTAAACCCGTGAGCTCTCCTTGCAGATCCCGCCGGCCTTCCCCAATCTGCTAGCTCCGGTTCCTTACTTGTAAATTCTGGTATGTGACAGCCTTTTAAGGCTTAAATTATCCATTTAAAGTTGCTGCTTGTGATGTCCGAATTTGGCTAGGAAATGGGGAAATTCCGGTAGCAATTAAGAGGGATTTAAGTGTGTTTGTTGCTTAATTCAAGTGAGATTTATATGATTGAGTGTTAATTGCTTGTTGTGATTTTTGGAGAGAAAATCCCGTGAATTAGCTAGTGTTTTGGCCAATTTGTGGAAGTAGAGTTACTGTTCACGTCGGGGTCACTGTTCACCGGTCACTGTTCACCGGTTACTGTTCACACCCCGAGGGCCAACATTTAACGGGAATTTAAATTATTAGTTTGTGATATAAGAACGAATTTGGAGATATTTGATCATGTGGAGATTGATAGGAATAGCATCGGGATTAGGAATGATCTTAATGATGATTTCAGCTTGAATTTGTGATAGCCCGGTATTAATTCTGAGGTGTTTTGATTAGGTTCCCGATCGTTCTGTCAGTTAGTACGTGAATTGAGTGCTCGGTTTTATGCAAGTGAGGTAAGTAATTTATGGTAATGCCCGTACTGTTTTAAAAGCATGTTTTGATTTGTTTTTGAAGTGGTGG